GAGGATCACAGCCCGATTTAGAACCACTACACTAGCAGGGCTCTTTAATAGTTCTCTTTTTTATTTGAGTCACCCTAGTAGGTGAGAGAGGAGCCTTCATGGCAGAGTGAGCATGCATAGGGCTGTGATCTGCGAGGTAGACAGTTCAAAACTACCAGCTGCTTGTTGGGAGAAATAGGGGACTTTCTACTCCCACAGACCATTAAACAGTCTTGGAAACTCCTGGGGTTAGCTCCACCCTGTCCTGTAGGGTCTCTCTGCTTCAGCAATGACTCGATGGCACCGAGTCAGAACCTCCTTGAGTGGCTGGCTTGGTTTTTGTCCAGTTGGTGGGTAGTTCGGGGTGGCTCCAGTGTGCATTTTCCTGATGGGGTACCAACTCCATGGATTTTACTCTGAAGTAGTCCTTAGAGCCAACCCTTCTTGTTCAAGCCCCTGCCCTCTCTCCATGCCCCTCTGCCATCGGTCACCTTCTCCTTGGGCCCCTCACATCTGCGGAGCTAGACTGTTAGTGTCTGTGGGCTCTGTGTTTCCAGGCTCCCCAACCTGAGGTCTCGCTGGTCATTTTTGCTGCGGCCTACTTGGAGAGACCACGGCAGCCATCGGGGGCTGCTGTTCCCTGCCTGAGCGAACCCCCATGCCCTGTTCTGGGGGCACCGGTCTGCCCTCAAGCTGTGCTGTGCTCTTTGAAGTGCCATGGGTCAGACCGCCACCCCTGACCCAAAGGACTTCACACCCGCGGGCCTTGACAGAACTGCCCGCGTGGAAAGGGGTGGCACTGGTCACTCTGCAGCCAATTCTCATACTGGGAAGAGGTTGTGAAGGGGCGACATTCTGATCAACATTGCCTTTCAAAACAGAAAACCAAGCAATAGACCAGCTCCACAGGCGGGATCCTGATATTGTTCATGACCCGAGACCCACTGTACCCACAGTGCTGGCTCACCGTAGGTGCTCAGTAGGTTGAAGGAATGCCTCTCTCGGACCCTGCAGATGGGAGGTGAGCTCAGCCTGCCAGGCTCCACATCTCATGGATGGTGGGAGAGCGTGCACAGGTGTGTGTGTGTGTGCGTGGCTGTATATGAGCATGGGCCTGCACACTTCCTGCCTTTAGAAAGCACCAGGCAGCTCTGGAACCCATGCCCACCTCTGCCCCGCTTCGTGCCCCTCCTCGCTGTCCACCCTCACTGCCCCCACCCTCCTGCCTGCCTCTCCTCACTGCCATGCCAGCACCAGGGAAGGGTTCGAGCTGAGGAGAGACGAGCCCCCAGTCTGCAGTTCAGTTAGACTGCCTCAACAGAAACCCACCTCTTACCAGAATTTTCCTGCTGAGTTAACTCCTTGTCATGGTGGCAGAGGTGGGGGGAGGGAACAGGAAGCCGCAAGGGCAATCAGCCGGCTCTGGAAGGGGACTCCTTGCCCATGCTTGCCCTGGGGTGTTAAATCTGCCCTCTCCGGGCACCTGTTCCTCACCTTCCTTGACCTGCCTCCTCACTCCTCTCTTTCTCGGAGTCAGGCTTGGTGCAGCAAGGACCAGAAGAGACAAGAAGCCCCCAGCTTCCCACCAGAGCTGCCCAGAAGGGTCGAGCCTGGGCGGGAGAGTATCTCATGTGAGAGGGGGGCACTCCATCAGAGAAAAAGGAGTCTTCCGAGGAGAATGGGGGCGGGGGGCAGCGTCCTGCACGCGCCCCTGCAGATTCACCTCCACAGTCACGATTTAACACCCCAGGGGGATACTTTCAACTTGGATCTCAGTGGTCACCCTGCCCAAGGCCTACTAGCCTCTGGCTTTTGAGAGGAAACAGAAGATCAATATGAGCGCTGCAGCGTCCAAGAGCAAATGCTCTGTTTCTCTTCACCCTGCCCAAGGACTCCTAGCCTCCGGCTTTTGAGAGGAAACAGGAGATCCATATGAGCGCTGTAGCGTCCAAGAGCAAATGCTCTGTTTCTATTCTATCTCCTCTTCCGGGCGTCACTAAAGAATTTCCTCTTGTCGCTAAAGATGGCCTTAAATGAGTGCTCCATCTCCTCCTGAATCTAAGCGGGGGTGGGGGGGTGGTTGTGTATGTGGATATAACCACAGAGTGTTTGCATTTCAGAGCCCCCAGCAATGTACTATTAAACAGGTCGAATGTGTGTTTCTACCATTGGCTTTCTGCTGGTTACTGGGGCTAAAGGAACTTCATTAGTGGGCCTAAATAATGCCATTTTCCTCATGCCCTGGTGCGCTCATGTATGAGTCAGCGCTGGAATCCTTGGCCCATGTACTGCCGTGGCAAGAACACACATTGGTTCACACTTTAGATGGAGCATGGGCACAAGGGTCTTTTGGACCCAGAAATCCTCAACTGGGAGCATCCCTGGCCCAGTCCAGGGACCTTTGGCAATGTCTAAAGGCAGGCGTCCTGGTGGTTATTGCTTATGCCCTGGGCTGCTAACCACAGGTCAGCAGTTTGAAACCACCAGCTGCTACCGGGGAGAAAGATGAGGCGCTCTCCTCCCATAAAAAGTTAAGCGTCTCAGAAACCTCCAGGGGCCGGTCTACTCTGTGCTATGAGGTCACTGGAAGTCAGGACAGGCTCAATGGCAGTGCGTTTGGTTTGCGTCCAGGCCATTCTGGAGCATCTGAATGATCCAAACGACTGTTGACTGGGGGGTGGGAGGCTTGAGCCCACCCAGAGGTACCTGGGAAGGAAGGCCTGGGGATCTACTTCGGGAAAACCACCCATCGCAAACCCTACGGAGGCACCAAGAATCAGGGTGGACTTGCCAGCACCTGGTTGGTTAGAGACATTGGGGGCTGTCATAAATCGGGCGGCTATAAGGGGTAAAGCGGTCTTTGGACAGGGCGTCATGCTTGGTGACGTGAACAGGAGGAAGCCCCTCGGTGAGACGGTCTGACAAGGTGACGGTGGGCCCGTGGGCTCGAAGAGAACAACCCTTGGGAAGGTTTGCACCAGCACCAGGTCCTGCTTCGTTCTGTTGCGCACGAGATTGCCGTGCTTTGGAACGGACCCAACAGCTTCTAACCTCAGCAGCAGGGGCAGGTGCCAGGCATACCGGAAGCATCCTGCCAGAGCCACGGCCAGCAACCTCCACAACCCAGAATTTGCCTAACTTAAAAATGTCCCCGTGTTGGAAGACCTGTTCTAGGCCAGGGTAGATGAAAGGGCGTGCGTCAAGGTTGAAGCCGTTCAAAGGTGGCACTTTCTGCTTTGTGTCTTTCTATAAGATTTGGGACCTTTGGAGTAAAGCGGGAGGCCTCTTGGACCCAGGGGGCTGCTTCCTGACTCCGTCATAATCTCTCTGCAGTCGCTGACCCTTGTGCTGGCCTTGGCCACGCTGATCGCAGCCTTTGGGTCCTCCTTCCAGTACGGATACAACGTGGCTGTTATCAACTCCCCTTTTGAGGTAGGTCTGCAGTGGACGAGACACAGCTCCCGAAGGACACCATCTGAGTGAGACTGTGTGCACAGTGCAGCAGGTCCCCCGTGAAGAGAGAGGGCGCACGGGGCAGCCCCAAGGAAAACCGGGACATTGAATCGAACCAGATCCCCAGCCCCCCATCTTCTCGGGAAGAACCCACATGAGCCAGGCCCTGCTAGACATTCATGGACCAGGCTCAAGAGGGAGTTCAGCTTTCTGCGACCTTGCAGAGTGAGCACCATGACTCAGGGCTTCTGGTGTGAGAAACGTCCTGGGTGGTTGGCATGTCTGAGAACTTACACACCTTCCCAGGGGAGCCTCGGACGGAGTCCCAGGGATTCCACAGATAGCCATGTGCCCCGGTTATTCCCTGGGGTGTGACCTAACAGCACCCCTTGTTCTTTCTCCCATCCGGGCTGGATCACATGGGTGTGTGGTTTTGTTTTGCCCTGCAGATCATGAAGCAGTTTTACAACGTCACCTACACAGAGCGAACTGGTGAATCCATGAGCACTTTCTCCCTGACTTTGCTGTGGGCGGTCTCTGTGTCCATGTTCCCGTTCGGAGGCTTTATTGGATCCCTCCTGGTCGGTCCCTTGGTGTCTAGATTCGGCAGGTAAGGAAAGGGGGGTTTCTGACTCCCAGAAACTCATAGATGGCCTCAGGGTATAAACCTTAGGCCTAAAACAGACCTCTTTAGAGTGCTGAAGAGCAAGGATGTATTCTGAGAACATGGTATTCTTTGTTGTATCCTATGCATGGAAAAGTTGGACATTGAGTAAGGCAGACCGCAGAAAAATAGATGCATTTGAATTGTGGTGCTGGAGAAGAATACTGGAAGTCCCATGGACTGTTAAGACCAACCAATCTGTGTTGGGAGAGGTACAGCCAGAGGGCTCCTTCCAGGCAAGATGGCAAGACTTCGTCTTACACACTGGGAACTTGTCATCAGGAAAGACCAGTCTTTATGTGTTTGGTAAAATGGGGGGCAGCAAAAGAGAGGAAGACCCTCAATGAGATGGATTGACACAGAGGCTGCCACCATGGGCTCAGTGTGAGGATGATGAGGGACCAGATCATGTTTTGTTCTGTTGTGCCCAGGGTCGCTATGGGTCAGAGCCTAACAGCAAGAACAAGACAGAACAATGTGGGACATAGGAATGGGTGTGAGGTCAGCACAGGACAGTGCAGGGTTTCTTTCCTTTATGCATCGGGTCGCTATGAGTCAGAATTGATTCGGGGGCACCTAACAACAACAACAAACATCTCCCCATTGTCAGACTAGAGCATCAGCTGCTGTGGTCACTGGTATTTTCCGATGGGACCAGAAGAAGAACGTCAAAGCGGTTTGGAGCTCAGCCATGGTCTTCGGGTTCGAAGTGGGGTAGGTAGGGATCTCCTGGCTCTTGATTCAGTGTGTAATGAGCAGAGTTCACCCACGAAGGTCCAGGCATCTCCTTCGCTATGTCTTGCCTGGTGGGTATTTTCCTTAGCATCATCCAGAGCAAGCTCTCCCCTCTATTTTCCTGCTTTTAGCAGGCTCGGACACCAAGAATACATGACCAAGGTATCAGTTTTAATGCTCCCTCCCCCCCGTAACTCTTTATGGGAGTAAAACACCTCATCTTTACCCCCTCCCCGGAGAGTAGCGGGTAGTTTAGAACCACTGATTTTGTTGTTTTCAGCCCAACACATACCCTGGGACACCACCAAGTCTCCTATTTTACCTTAGGACAAGGGAAAATGCCAAGTTTAGCTCAATTTTCATGAAACAACGGTAAAGCTTTGAAATGACTTGGGTGGGTGTGAGGCCTGGTGGTCCAAGGTCCACAGTGACAGACACGCCCCGAATGCTAGAAGCAGGAGGACTGTGACCCCAAGTATAAAAATATTAGATACTCTGACTCCAAAGCAAATTTCCCGGGAAACTTGGAAATGAGAGTCCATTGGAATTAGAGAGCAGCCCAGCTGTGCATAATACAATACAGTCCCTTCTCTTCCCCAATGATCCCCGGAGGCTGAGTGATGGAAAGTCATCCATCTACTGAACTCGGGTGCCAAGACCGGCACCCAGACTCTGGGAACCTTTCCAGTATTAAAAAAAAAAAAATCTGGAATAGAAATCCACAACCTCTGTCTGGTTTGGGATCCAAGAGCCCAGGATCCTCATGGAAGGTTGTTGTTGAACTCACAATTCCAAAAGGGCTTCTCCAAAATGATTGAAGCAAAGATGCAAATGGAAATCTATTCCCGGCACAGTAGTCAAAAAGTGGAAACAGCTGTATGCTCATCTCCAGAGGAATGGACCAAGGAAATGTGCGGTGTCCCTGCAATACAATTTCGGCATCAGGAGAAATGTATCCCCGGTCTATGTCACAACGTGAACGCACCTTGACAATACTACACTGAGCGGAATAAGTGAGACACAAACGCACAACTACTGTGATCTCACTCGTATGAAATAGTTAAAGCGTGCACACCACCCAAGGTTATTCGTGGTTACCAGGGACGGCCACCACTTTGCCATACTTTGGTGGCTTTACTATGATGTTGGAAGCTATGCAAGGGGTATTTCAAATATCACCAGGGTCACCCGCAATGAACAGGTTTCATGGAGCTTCCAGATTAAGAACAGACTAGGAAGAAGGAGTAAATTATCCCCTTGTGAGGGATTAACCACTGAAAACCTTATGAATCACAGCAGTATGTTATCTGGTACAGTGCCCAGAGGGGAGCCCTTGAGGCTGGAAGGTGCTCAGACACAACTGGAATAGCTGCCTCCTCGAGGCAGAGCTGCCCTTAACGATGGGCTAGAGTCACGGACCTTCATTTGCTGACGGCGCATACCTCAAAATCAGAAGCAACATCTTCAGACTCCATTAAGAGCTAGAACATGGAATGTACAAATTATGAATCTAGGAAAATGAGAATTTGTAAAAAAAAATGGCATGGAAGGCATAAAGATGGATCTCTCAGGCATTTGTAAGCTGGAATGGACTTTCATTGGCCATTTTGAATTGCCAGGAATTACAAATTCTAAAGAAATGGTGTGGTACTCATCATCAAAAAGAACCTCTCAAGATCTGTCTTGAAGTGCAATGCTGTGTGTAACAGATCTACTCACCTATACGCAAGACCTGTTAATACAACCACTATAAAAATGTACGCACCAGCCACTAAAGGCGGTGATGAAGGAGGTAATGAATCTACCCATGTCTTCAGTCTGAAATTGTTCAAACATGCAGTCAAGATGTGTTGATAAAAAAAAAAGATGTGTTGATAATTACTGGTGATTGGAATGCAAAATCTGGAAACAAAGAGGGTGACAGTCATTGAAAGATATGACCATGGTTATAAAATGGAGCTGGAGATGGCATGATAGAATTTTTGCAAGACCAAAGACTTATTAGTTGAAAATACCATTTTCAATATCACCAACAGCATATAAGCACATGGGCCTTATCACATGGAATACACAGGAACCAAATTCACTGTCTCTATGGAAAGAGAATGGAGAAGCTCGATATCATCTGTCAAAAGAAGCCAACTGTGGATCAGATCATTAATTGCTTCTATATAGTTCAAGTTGAAGCTGCATAAAATTAAAACAGGTCCGTGAGTATACCCCACCTGAATTTAGAGACCCACTCAAGAGTATATTTGACTCACTGAACAGGACCAAAACCCAAATGAGCTGTGGGATGACATCAAGAATTTTACACATGAAGAAAGCAAAAGTTCATGAAAAGGACAGGAAATAAAGAAGAAACTAACATGTCATGTCAGACGCGTCTCTAAACTTGCTCTAGAAAATCGATAAGGTACAGCAAGTAGAAGAAACGATAAAGTAAAAGAGCTGAAGAGAAAACTGGAAGGGAAATTCTAGAATCAAAAGTAAAGCAGTATATGAAGTGTGCAAAGACTTGGAATAAAAAACCAAATGGTAAGAACACACTCAGCAGTCCCAAAGCTGAAAGAACTGAAGAAAAAAACGGAAGCTTTGAGTTGCAGGATTGAAGGATTCTATGGGCTGAATACTGACTGATGCAGGGAGCAGAAGGAATAGAGAAAGGCACTGTACCAAAAATAATTGGTCAATCTTCAACCATTTCCTTTCAAGAGGTAGCCTACGATCAGGAACTGATGGTACTGAAGGAAGACGTATACGCTGCACAGGAAGCGTTCACTAGTCTATGCCAAGAAAGGTAACCGAGTAGAGTAGCCAAGACGCGACCTGCCATTGGGGCAGGTTTTCCCCACTACCATCAGTTGGTTCCAACTCAGAGCCACCCTTATAGCGTTACCCAGGGGTTGTCAGTCCTGAATGGCAACACTCTCCTCCTGCTCCCCTGGTAGGTTTGAACTGCTGGCTTGGAGGTTAGCGGTCCACCACTGAACCGACAGTTGGGGTGCCAAGTAACCGGAGGAGTTCCATTATTTGTGCCCATTTCAAAGAAAG